AGGTAAATGACCATAGATTGGATTAGTATTCATATATTTCAGAAAGTGATAAAGGTTACTGTAAGTAAATTAAAATGTGAATTTTGAAAACCTGATCCTGAATATGAAGACTTTAATTACCCAGAAATGAGAGCCACACCAAGTCACAAAGCCCTTCTCTGTTGAGACAGAGCACCGCCCTGATATGACCTGAGTGGACAAGATCCTGGACCTTGTCATACCAGTTTATAGGGGGTGGGTTATTTCCCAGCTTTCAGCATCCAGAAGGATTTAGCTAAGGTTTCCAAGAAAGTGTATTATCATGCAAAATTCAAATTTCTTCAGGCAATAGAACCTGAATCAATTAAAGTTTAAGGTATGGTATAAATCTATGAGTTAATTTGGGCTTTCATTTTCTGGGGTGATAAATCTGTGCTTAAAATGGCAAGTTAAGAGAAAGCATATTTTTTCCTTTGTAAAACGAATCTCTCTGTTTTTCTTAGAATTATCAGTATTCAGTTTATGCTAACAGTTCTGTGGCTCCCAGCATATCTTATTCATGTCAAATCTTATTGATGAGTCAACTCAGGCAGATCTGTATCACATACCTAGTATATGTAGAAAATTTAAGTATGTATTTTAGAATTAGATAAGAATTTTTGGTGATGCCTTAAAATATTGATCTGTAAAATGATGAATTTTGTGAACTGTAGTCCAGTAAGACCAGCAATGAAGTCAATATGTCTAATCATTGTAGTTATCTGTGCCATATATTATAGTGAGGTTGAAGTCTTCATTTGAAGAGGCAGTTACTTAGTGTTACCCTGCTGACAGAAATTCTCTGCTGAGAGCTGAATGCTCATATTGACCCCACAGCAGCAGTTTCCATCTGCAATCCATTCAGCAAAAGTTTATGTCACCTCTTTGTTCAAGTCAGTTGCAGAAGAAATAAGCTGTTCATTTCCACCTGCAAGTGCTGACCTGGGAAAGGTGAGAAGAGCAGCAGGAGCAGAAGTGCTCATAGCTGCACTTTAGGGAGGGATACCAGCAGGAGACCAGGGCTGTGCACGGTGATTCCACGCCCAGAGGAAGAGTCACTCCCGTCATCTGTGCAGCGCCATCTGTGGCAGAAGGGAAGCGATGGAACAGTTGTGGATTTCAGACAATATTCCTCAGGATGCCAACAGCTCCCTGCCAGCCCTTCTCCTGATGGGTGATGCTGCAGCAGAGGGTTACCCTGGGCTGGGCGTGCTTTAAAACATCCCACAAAAAGAAGTGTCTTAAGAAGGTCTGCCTCCAGATGGAATGTGTTTGCCCCTCCATAGCAGGAGTATTGCATGGAAGTTAATAGCCAGAGGATTTTTTGGGGGCTGACTCTGCCCAAAATTTTAGGAGGTTTGCTCTCCTCTCCAGTTGGTCATGGTAAGAGACATTTTGGAGAAAACCAAGATATGAGACCTCTAGCAAATAGAAGACCTGTGGGCTGCTTTGATGTGTCCCACATACCAGACAAGCAGTTTATCACCGCAGGGAGCATGTGAATCAAGCTGTCTTTATATCCACCCTTTATTTCTTTCTGCATTTATTCATTGAGCAAATTCATTTAAAGTTTTTCTAGCTGTAGGAAGAATAAAAAAACCCCATTCCTGTAGACTCTGTTCTGGTAAAATACGAAGAATGACTCATAGCAAGAAGTACTTTACCAGGTTATATCAGGTCAACACTGAGTTTGTTGTACTTTAATCAGATAAGTCACAGTTGTTTGGGTCTGTGTTTTTAAAGCTTATTTCACTTGTTTTTATTTACCAAACATTCACTTTTCTCAGGACATTGGAAACATGAACTGTTTCTATCAAAAATTTCAATGTTTGCAACTTGGCTACTACAACACAGATAATTTCTGGGGAGTCTTGAGCTGCTCTCAGCAGTCAGTGGATGACCTCCCCGCTGACAGCTGTCAATCACATGTGGCTGATGCCATTGCCTTGGGGTGGATCTTGCTTTGTGCCGGGGCCAGGACTCGTTCCATAGGACAGAAACTACAGTGTTCAAACCAGACAGGCAAATTTGAGGGAAAATAAGTGCTACCAGCAGTAGTTCAGCGGGTCAGAGTATGTAAAAGGGCTGCAATTGCTGTGTGTAAGCATTTGAAGTAGCCACAGTCACATATGCTGTACACTTAGGTTTGCGTCAGCAGCTCTTTGGCAACAGACCCAACCCTATCACAGTCAATTCCAGGAATCTATAACTAGTTCTACCTCTGTCTTCTCATACTCTTTCCTACCAATCTGTGCCTGCCTAGAAGGCTGTCACATGTGTAAGTCGTGTCTGCCAATGTGGAAATGTACTCAGGCTTTTGTTTTTCAACTAGGAAAGAAATTTCAAGGAAGAAATAGAAAAAGGTGTGACTGAATAAAGATGTTTTTGTGCAGTTACTATATATGTGAGCTTTGGCTGGTTTGGTTTTGTTATAAGCTTGCAGCATTAGAGGTATTTTTGAAGCTCATGTAGTTCACCAATAGTTGAGAGTTTCTGCTAATCCTTGCTGAAGCCTTGATTTTTGACACAATACTTAATCACCATGTTACTTCTCAGTGCTACCAGCAGCACACAAAAAGTTGAAATGATTAATCAAATTATTTGAACAGATTTCAACAGAATTAAGAATTAACTGGAGTTCACCAGAATTTTCCAGCTGATATGCAGAAGGGGTTTTTGTTTTACTCAGGACAGCAAGTTAATGTATAACAAGACAATTTATCTCAATTGGGCAGTTCTTGTGATTTAAGCTTAAATGGTGTATAGACAGGTACTTTCAGTGCTGCAATAGCCTCAGATTTCTGGCAGAAAAGTGGTTTTCAGGCTCAGTCCTTTAAATACTTTGATGACTATTCATTCACAAACTTTTTAAAAGCATCTGAGAAACAGTAACTGACAATACTGGCTTTATCTCATCTGTTAAAATTCCCCTTGGACTGGGACTGATAGTCCAAGTGTACACTAGCCTGGTAGATGGGGTTTTGCATCCCCTCAGATGCCAGTGAAGTTCATCTCAGGCCCATCATTCAGTGACACTGGAAACACTTGCTGGTTTATGCTGGCAATTGGAGTGTACAAAAAAATGTGTCAGGATTTGATTTGAAGTACAGTTATGGACAGAGAAGTGACTGTAAAAAGGCATGTCTTACATGTTCTCCCTCCATGTCCTTCAGGCATCTCTGCTGATTTACTGATTCAGACGAGTAGTTACTACTGTCAGTGCTATAAAACCAATAACCCTGGTGGAAAGAGATGGATTCCCTCCTGCTGTGTGCATTATCAGCAAAAGTATTTGCTGTTTTCTAGTGTGGATTTTGAGTAATTGGATGATGGGCCACAAGGGAGAATAAAGCAGCTCGAGTTTTCCAACTGAAGAGAAATTTTTAGTCTCAAAATTAGAAAAAAGACTGGAGAGTGTTTAAACTAACCCAATCTGACCAGAATGACTGAGTAAATCTGAAACCCCACCATGTCATTTTAACATCAGCTCTTAAAGGCCCTCTTAAACAAGACAGACAAACACTGGTTCCTGGCTTTTTTTTGCAGGCACTAGGTTGCCATTTTTCCTTGACTCATGTTTCTTGCTTATTTAATGTTGCAGTGATGACTTCCAAGTTGATAAATAAGTAAAATCACATATGAGAAACTCTGAGGGCTGAGCAGTGGAGCAGTAAGGTCATAGAAAGAATGGAGCGTGCAATTCTAAAAGGTTTTTCTGTGGGATGTGCTGATGATTGTTTAAAATTACTTAATGGAAAAATTCCAGGCTGTAAAGCAATAAATCTGATCTTCAAGTGTGGTTTTAATATTGAAAAAGAACAATGTAAAAATGCCACCTTTGTGCTCAACAGCTCTTTTCTTTGCACATTTGAATCCAGAGATGTCTTCCGTTTACTGCATTGGCAAAAATTGTTTTCTTCTGCTTTCTTTGTCCAGTTACTTTTGAAGAGTTTATGTGACTCCAAGGACCATTGATTGGTCTCTGTTTCCTATTTTGAATTGGGAACATTGCTATTCCTGCTTTTTAGTTTTCATTTCTGGGACAAGAGGTGAAAAATATTTAAGCACGTTGAAAGTGCTGATATTTGCCTTGTGGGAATTCCCAAAGAACCAACCCCGTGTAATCCTATTACAGTCTCCCTCTGTATTTATGTGTTTAACTACTTTAGAAAGTCTATCCTATACCACTTGAAGAGTCATTCAAGCTTGAATTAATGATTAATGATATAAAAGAGAAGCAGCTGTGATAAACAGCACTTCTTGTCATTGCCCTCCTTTCCATGAAGGGACATGTGAGGGGGAAAGATCCCAGCTCAGTTCATGCTGAACTGTGTTACTTGATCAGAACCTGATGTGAGAATCCCTGACATGTAGAAAGCATGACATATGACAGTGTTTTTGCAGGGTTTTTCAAAGCAAAGCTGCATTGCTTTGTCAAGTAGAAATATCTGAGTTCTGGAACCATCTCTGGAGGCACTGGGTGGGAAGGAGAAAATGTAGATAAATGCTGTTGGAGAAATGAAATTACTGTGGTTTTTTAGCACCCTTGGGCACCTGTTCCATGTGAAATTCTAAGGGCAGAATAACATATTTTTGCCTTCCTCCTGGAGATTTAATGCTTTTTTGGACTTTAAAAGATGGAATTTTTAAACATTTCCATGTTTTGCCAGAACAGTTGGACTGATACAGAGGACACAGAAAAATAACAATGTCTATCAGACTTTCATGACTAATCCATTACTTTATGTTTAAAATAACAATAATTAAAAAATAATTAAGCACTAGCTTGTTGATTTCTGTTAATGCAGCTTAGCATATAAATTTACAAAACCAGAGTAAGACTCTCATGAAGCAGCAGCATCATTATGGTATCAATATATCCCTGAGACAGTAGTAGATAAGAAATGTCTTCTCTAACAGAGATAATTTTTCTTTCTTCTTAAGTGTAATGTATTAATAAGATCCCTTCTTATTCCTTTTAGGCACCAGTAACAGATGTGCAGTTTGGCCCTATGAGACTTCATCAAGATCAACTTCAGGTAACACAGCAGTTCAAATTGAAGTCTTGATTTCTAAAACATCACAGATGTTAGCTTAAAATTTATGACTGGAATTTTTCAGGGTACAGAGATCTTCACAGAGCATTTTTATCAAGTGATAATGTGCACATAACAGATTTTTATCTTGACATTCTATGTGATAGCCTAAAAACCCTGCCTGTTTTCTCCAACCATCAGTCAGCTCATAAAAATAGAGCTATATATTCTTTGCTATCAGTTATCTTGTAATCAATTTAGTGAGTGCCTCATTTTGTATTTTACTGGTAGTCAATTCTTAATCAAAATCTCATCAAACTGATACTAAGCCTGTCAAGGTCTATTATACCAGAACTATTGCTAACATCAACAAAACTTGCAAAATTATTACAGAAGATATGAAGTGAGCTTGTTTTTTTGCTGTTCATTGCTGACTGGCATTAATTAATCCTCCTTTGTCTCTTTATTAATAAAGGTCTTATGTCAGTTGTCCCCTTATTTGTCTGGGGTGGGTATGAGGTTTGCAGATACATGACTCCTTTGGACTTCCTTTGAAAATTCTCCCATATCCCAAGGCATACTGAACCATTAATCATCCAAGATATTCTTCAGTCAGTAATTAGAAAACTCCTCAGTTAATGCCATCTGAACCTAATAATGTGAAAATGTCTTCGAAAATTGCAGTTCAACATCTTCCTGAGCTATTTTCAAAACAGACAGTAATGTTATTCAGCATCAGATTTTAGAACATCCTCATCCAGCTGTTCCCCCAGTGTAAATAAGAAACATTTCTTGAATATTTCTGCCTCCTGTATTGTTATTAATGCTTTTATCACTTTTGCCCAGTCATAGGCCACTCTGAAGCGCTGCTGGTTTATCCTGGTGATATAGGTGGCAGGTGTGAGGGAAGGAGAAGTTGAGCAACATCTCATTTGTGCCAGAGTCAATCATACAGCTCAGATCTGCTGACTTTTTGTGCTATTGCTGAAAACCTTTCTTCCCCTCTTAAGGAGTGTTGTAAATTAACTTCACTAAATATAGTGAACAGTTTTGCAGGTTGCTATAAAAGGAACCTGAACTCAGCGAGTACAAAGTCCTTTAGTCTTACAAAAATATGCAGTACATGGAAATGTTAAGATTTACTGGTAGACACTTCACCAACCTGGTCCAAAGTATAACTAGCACTGGAGTTCCTAAAATCATCCAGAAGATAAACAGCAGTAGGATATGGTGTGAGTTACGTGTGCTCCATATTATTGTCTGACTGAAGCTTATATTTAAGTGTGGCTTGATTAAGTTACTGAAAGATTGGTGTCTTGGGACAATAGACCAAATGCTGGTTTATTTGTCCATCTTTCCTGAAAGGCTGCATGTACTGAGTGATCCCCCAAAAGCAACACACCACAGATCTTTAGTCTGCCATGCTGTATTCTTTTAGGCAAAAGAAGTTTTGTCTGCAAAACATTATCCTGATGCAAAGCACAATCGTATCAGTAAGAGTCCTCCTTAGCAGACTTTATCTTCTCTACTGTTTTAAATCCTAGAATTTGGAATACATTTCTAAAGAATTGGGCTTTATCATACTTTTAGTATATAGGTATTGTATTGATTTTAAAAAGGCTCAGAGAGATTAGTTATTGGCAATTACACAGCAAGTTAGGACAGAACAAATACTGGCTCACAGATCTGACTTCCAGTTCTGGATTTCAACTATGGTAATCTCCTTCTGTGATATAAATCCCATGGCAAGCTTTGTGTAGAAGTCACACAGGGACATACTCCATATATAGAGGTACTACTTATGATTTCAGTCTGGCTTGAGTTCATTTAGACCAGCCTGTCTGTAATTTCCAGAAACCCCACAGAGTGGGCAGCATCCAGTACTTTGGGGAACTAGGATGAGATAAAAAGGAAAGCACATTTTTCATCGTGCTATGGAAGCACCACTGAGTACTGATTCACACAAGATGAAACATGGCCTTTTTTTCCCTTTTCTAGAATATGATCCAAGACAAATAAACCCCAAGAAAATGGTTGCATGTGAGACAGTTTCAGTGAAGTGGACTTGCTGTTAGTTCATGTACACTGTCTGAAACACAGGCACCCAGTCTCTGCTGGCTGCCTAAGCTCTCTTTGTAGATAATGACAAGAGAGAGACTTTCCAAACTTGTTCTCCCCGTGTGGATATACGTGGTTCTGGCAAACTGTTTTATCCACTTGAAACACCTCTGTATACAGACAATTATAAAAAAGCAGTGCTCTGTAGAAAGCAATTCTGTTGAAAACCAATTAAGGATTAAACCTTGGAAGTGGCTTTAAAAAACATGTTAAGAATAGGCAAAAGTTACAGACTCTGTATACTGTATATGTAAGAATTGTTTGTAATTCTTCACTGTTTGTCTTTAACGCAGGTACTTTTAGTGTTTGCTGAGGAAGACGACCAGAGTAATGGGTTCCGTTGGGCATGTGAGAAAGCTGGATTTCGATGTAACATTGCCAGGACACCTCAGTCTGCACTAGAAAGCTTTCTAGATAAACACCATGACATTATCATTATTGACCATAGGCATTCCAGACACTTTGATGCAGAAGCGTTATGCAGGTAAGCACCATTTCAGTGCAATTAACGCTTAGCAATATAGTTAACACATCATCAAAGTTTTTTTGCTTTTATATGACCTTTTTATAAACTATTGATCATTGATATACTTTTCTGGACAGGTGTGCACTGACAGCATCAAATAGTATTACCTCAGTGCTTTACATCTGATAGCAGCAGCATTTTTGGTTGTGTGCTAGGGTGTCTGAAGCTCGATCTGGCTTGGAGCCACAGCATACAAATTTTCTGGCCATAGTGAACTGTTGGGTTTTTTGTTTGGTTTTCTTCTGTTAGTTTTTTTTTATTCCCAAATCCCTGGTTCCTTGTTTGCACACTAAATCAACTGCAAAGATAGCATATATCACCAAGCAATTCAATTAATACATTCACTTCATGAATGTTCTGATTTTTTTGCAATGTTACTTGCTGTTGAGCAACCCCAGATGCAAACAGGCAACATTTGGTGTGTGTGTTTCCATACCTACAACATTTGAAAATATGTTATGAAGAGCAAAGTTGCAATCTGATTCCAAAAATACTTTTAGAAGCTGCTGTGAAGTATGAAAAAAGGAGAAAAAGATTTGCCTTTCTGAGTCTCTCCACAGAGACTTGACAGGCAGTGGTGCCTTGCTTCAGTGACTTCTTTCCAGTGAAATACCCCTTGGGAATGTGTCTAGACTGAATAACAGGCTGTGGGGTGGGGTGGCAGGGTCAGGGTATGTACCCTGGGTGAGTGTGGTGGGGCCAGGGCACTGGGACAAAGGCTCTTCTTGCTAAACTGAAGGAACTAGATAAGATCTTTGTCAGGCAAACTCTAGGTATCAGCACTGTTCCTCTTCTCCCATGTTTACCATTCTGTCCCAGAATAAAGGAAAATGCACCTGAAATGAGTGAGGCCAAGTCCTTCAAACAAGTCCATTATAAGCCATTTCAGAGTGGAGAATTTTTGCTGTTCCCCCACTGATAACATTTGAGTTTTAGAATAATCTTATGTTCGTGGAGTCTCAGATATGGCTGAATTTATTCTCCTTTCTTAGTAGCAGGCTCGGGATTTGATTTTTGTTTTGTTGTTAAATGAGTTAAAAGAGACATTTTAAGAAAAGTACTGTGTGAACAGTCTGTAAAGTCATGATTTCTGAAATGTGAACTTAAAAAAATTTAAATTATTTGCTTTTTATTTAAAGGTCTATCAGAACAACGAAAGCCTCAGAAAATACAGTCATTATTTGTGTAGTACAAAGGTAAATACTCATATCTTTACTTTCAAGTGTGATCAGAAGTGTAAATCTTATCATTTTAAAAGTAAATACTACATTAAAAACTTGAATGAGAACTTCTTACTGGGTTAGTAATAACTATATACCACACAGAGTTTTCACCATCCTCGACCACAGGATTAAGGCAGGAATTTTTTTTCATTTCTGCTTTCACTAAGGAGGTCTCACTTTGTGTTTTGGTTTTGGGGTTTTTTCCACTCTCCTGATCATTGCAAGCTTTCAGAGTATGTTTCAAACAACTTCTGCAGCATCCTGTACAGAATGTCTCACAGATCTGTATTTTGAACCTTTCTTGATCTGCCTTTTAATATGATTAATCTCAGCACAAACAGGAGACCTTCTAAGTTGTGAAAAAAGATACAGAACAATTTGATCAGTACAATTTGATCAGTACAAAGTATCATCTGACCACAGAAGTTCTAAAAGCGAGACAAACTATATTATGACATCTCAGTAAAGCACTGCATATGCTTTTTCCATCCGCCTCCTCTGAAAACATTACTTATGTATCATAAAATAATGTAAAAAAATCAATATATTTAGTCTGAAATGAAATAACTGGAAGACAATTTCCTCAAAGTACAATTTTGGGAATAGCCATTTCTCAGAAAACATAAATTCTGAAAACTAATTATGAGGTGTTGAAATTCCCCATTAAAAATATACCCCCATCTCTAGCAAACAAAAGACCATAACTAAACATTTCAAGACCCGAAACTTCAAGTGTAAATAAAAACTTCAATCTGCTCATTTACAGAAACTTAACATAGCTGCCTTTCTTCCAGATTCCAGCCATACAGTCACATATGTTGAGTGTCTTTTAACAGTTAGTACAGCCAAGTTTTTCAAAATTATTTAGGTAGTTCATTTAGGAATATGTCCTCCCAAAGCGACCCACTGGAAGGCACTGGGTAGGCAACACTAGCAAATCTGTCCTCATTTGGGCTTCTTGAGTTGCCCATCTAGGATGTGGTACACTCAGACAGGGAATTTCTTAAAACTTTGGCTGTATTGACTTTCAAGTGCATCTCTGACTAAGGACAGCATAAACAATAAAGAATCCAGTACCAAAAAAAGTAGGAATAGTCCAACAACCTAGGTCATTAATTGTTTTCCTTGAAGCACAAGGTTTTTTGTGGTGTAAGCAGCACCTTAGGTGCATAAAGGAAAATAACATTTTGACTTCTCCATGCCAAAGATGAAAGCTTATTAAAAACCACAAAAAATATATTTTATTCCTAGATCCTGTAAAGATCTAGCAGTATGTGTGACATCTGGGGTACAAGTATGTCAATGGATTGTGAAATTTGGCCTCAGTTGATTACAAAAATAATCTCTGACTTAATTATTCTTTTTTTCAAAGGCATACTGACCGTGAGGAGTCATCAATATTGCCCCTGATCTCTGCTGGCTTCACAAGGGTATGTATGTTGCAATATTGTACTGGGTTGCTCTGATATTTCAAAATTTTCATGCAAGAAACTATCCAGAAGTTTGGCTCAGTCCTTTTTTGTGTCAGTGATCCAACCTGTAGATCCTGTTAGTACTGCTCATTCCTGTAGGTCCCAATTCTGACCACTGTACACCAGTAGAATTAGAATAATGCTGAGTAGGTGGCCATTCTCAGGAACGTAAGAAGTGGTGCTGAGACTTTTTACTGCTTTATGCCTTTATTTCAGATGAAATATATGATGCTCTGCTTGAAAAGTTGACATGGACAAAATTGACTGGTGACTGTGGCAGAGCCAGAGAGCAGCTTGCAATGAACAGCACAATGTGCTGAGGGAAATCTCTTCTATCAAATGCCAATTCACATCTGTAAACAGGCTTCAGACACTGTCATGCTATTATCTATTGTTTGGAGGCACTTGAAAAGTATGGCATTGAATCTGTTCCTTGGCAACTAAGTTAAAAAGATACTTATTAGTGCATCAGTTAAGTGGATTCCTTATTGCATTCAGCTGACAATGGAACGAAAATGGGCCTGATTTACAGTGTGATTCAGAATATTTGGTTCCATGCTCACCAGATTTTTTGCTGTCCCATCACATTCCATTTGCACCCCTCTGCTTATTTCTAGTAAGGTCCCAGTCCAGGAAATGCTAGAACCTGAAGATAATGGTATTTAAATGAAAAGAGTCATTTCAGGGGGCACATAAGTAATTTAACACAGGTTATGAATTATTTATGGATCAGAGCCTTGGAGATGGGGCTAATGGCAAAGCACAGAAAATTTTGTTTAGCACCTTAATGTGGTGGCTTACCTTTGATAATCGATCCTCCCTGCAAACTATCCACTTCTGTGCTGGTTTAGCATGAACAAAGATTTAACATTCAGGCTCATACCTGGTAAATATGAGAAGTGTTAAAATAACATGAAAGATACTGAGGTCATTGCTATACAAGCCCCAAAATCAATAATTGTATCCAATGGTAGGTGTGTTTGACTGGAAATTTTGCTTTCTTCTATGTAGAAAATTTGGACTATTAGCAATTAGAAATTCAAAATAATCTCAGATTTCGATGCCTTGAGAGACAACAATTTTTTCACTTTATTTTAAATAAGTAACATGAGAGCTAAAAGTAGATTTTTAAAAAATACATTGATCCTCCTAACAAACACAGAGAATAAACAGATTGGTTGAACCTCATTACCATGAGGATCAGTCACCTTTTCAAAATGCAGTAACCTAAAAAGTTTTCCTATTCCCAAAAAATAGTTTTCTCGTGTTGCTTGTGTCACAGCATGTTCATTTTTGGCCTGTCTACTCCTTTTTTTGATTCTTTATCAAGCAAAAGAAAACAGAGCTTCATACCCTTGAATTTGGAAATGTGTATTAATTAAATATTTCTAACCTTTTATTTGCAGAGATATATAGAAAATTCCAGTAGAATGGCCTGTTACAATGAGTTGATTCAGCTGGAATTTGGACAGGTACAGGCACAGTTCAAACTAAGGTAATTTTACCAAAAATGTTATCAACAAAAAAATTTCAATTCAGCCACATCTTAATAGAGTATTTATTTTATGTATGATAGTTAATTATAGAATGGCAGTTAGCTGAAGAAAATACATTAATTGTTGAAGTACAACGTTATCCAGTATGGAGTTGTCATACTTTATTGTCATATATGAGAAGACTTAAGAGGATAAAATTTTATGAGATGCTTTGTTTTTTTTTGTTTGTTTCCAGGGCGTGTAATTCATTATTTACAGCATTAGAGAAAAGCCAAGAAGCCATTGAGATCACAAGTGAAGACCATGTAATACAGGTTTGTTCCAGTTATAAAAATACAGAAAATTGCTCAGTATTTTATTTCATCCATGATTACACTTACTCTTTCTTACAGCACAAGAATCTAATCTAACTTAATGGTTCTAAAAGATTGAAGTGAGTTTAGCTGTAGAGTAGAATTTTCTCCATTTAAAGTATCTTGCATAAATCAAGTCAATTTTAAGGGTGATTGTTGTTTCTGAATGAATAAGGATTTACTCTCTTGTTTTTATTTTTTGATTGATTCTTTTGTATCAAGAATGAATGCAGCCACTGGCTTGTAAGCATTCTTTTCCAAAAATATTGTATGTTAATTTGATACTCTTGAAAATCTAATGGATATTCTATTTAAATAATTGTACACTTTTTTTTTCCTAAAACCTGATACTGTTTGATGTCTCAGAATTCTTGGGCCAACTGTTTTTGAATGTAATCCTCTCTTAGAAATGTCTTTAAAATAGGGAAAAGAAATTGTGCTTAGGTTTGCAGTTCTGAAACCATCATCTTTATAAAGGAGTTAGTTCCATCCCCAGCTATGAAGCAGTGAAGAGTGATTTTATTATCAGCAAAGAGCTTGAGTCTAAGCCTCTGGGAATTATAACATGCATATAAATTGTACCTTCTTGACCCAAATCTTGACACTGGCAATTTCAATTCAGGATGTGCCTTCTTCATCCCTTTTAAAAAAATAACAGAACACATCCTGAAGTTGTTTTAAATATGTTTTTTTCAGACCCAATTTTGTCCCTCTGCTGACAGTCCCAGAGTATGAGAGAACCAACATGTGCAGGAGTCCTGGAGCTCCAGCGGGCAGGGCTTTCGCACATGGAGGGGAACCTTTTGGAAGGAACCTTTAGGGGGGAACCTTTAGAAGCAGAGGGCATTTCTCTCATAGTAAAACACTGTAAGTTGTGAGACATTCAGATGCTGTTTTGGCAGGAGCTGTGCCTGTAACTCAGCAAGCGAGAGGGTCACGAAGGTGTGGGCTATTGGTAACAATCTTTGGTTTTATTGGGCAAGGGCCACAAAACTGCAGTGAAATGCAACGTTCACTCTGGAGAGAAAGTGCTTTATTAAATTCCACTTCTTCCAGTTTGCTTGGCTGGACTTGCCAGGACAGGGAAATAGTGATGGTTGGCCCTTACATAGAATGAGACAATGAATTTGCTAATAGATAAGGTTAATATTCCTATGGTATCCCACTGTCAAATCTGTGATTTTTAGGAACACAGAGGTAGGTTTGAGGTTTATATGTTTGAGAACTGACAGAACCTATTTTTCAGGAATTTATACTGTCTTTCTAAACTCTGTTAATGTGTAATACTCAGCTGTTTCCAAAATTTCCCTCTCTTTACTCACAGGCACACACTCCACAGAACTATTCTGGCACGGACATTCCTGTTTTGCTTCACAAATTAAAAAATGTGGGCATCTCTCTCAGGAGTAGTACATGCTGACATTTATTTCAAACTGGGAAAGAGATCCCATGGTTTAGCAAACAGAAAAGAGGGATTTTGTTGTGCTTTAAGTATACTGTTCAACGGGTATTTGTTTGTTTTTGTTTCACAGTACGTCAATCCTGCTTTTGAAACAATGATGGGCTATCAAATAGGTGAACTAATACAAAAGGAATTAACAGAAGTGCCTATAAATGAAAAAAAAGCTGATTTCCTAGATACTATTAATTCCTGCATAAAGATAGGAAAGGTGAGTAATGGCATTGTATCACTTATTATTTGCTACCTGTAAGAGTTATTGCAGTCCAGAGATGACACGTTGTGACTTGCAGCTTCACAGAAAAGTAGCATTTGCAACTTTCTCACTCAAAACAAGAACGGGAAGTAAAAAATGTGAGGTTTTTTAAGGGCTTCTTTCTCTTTTCTTGCTTGGAAGAGGTACTTGTTTTATGCAAATAAGTGACTTACTGAGTTTCTTTACAATTTATGCTGTTTGTAGCAAACAAGAGAAATGAGATGGATGCACATGTTATCCAGTGCTATGTAAATGAGAAAAGTACCATGTGGGAGCAAGTTCAGAATGTAAAAATATCAGAGACATTTGCAATATCACTTGAGAGTGATAGGTGTCAGCTGCCAGCTGCCAGTGTGTTTTATTCTGTAATGATATGAGAGATGTCTAATGGATTTCCATTAGAAATGTTCATTGCACTAAGATTGTCCAAGGTCTGGCTTTAAGGGAGGTCTTTACAGAGGGATGTTACTGTTTGCCTGGTACTCCACGGTGTTCCTTTGGGAGTGTTGTGGATGTATGTGAGGATCTGTTTAGGAGCTCCCATCTGCATTTCTACGATGAGGTGTAAATGCTTCTGATGCCATTGAACATGTCACAGTACCATATAGGAAGAAGATCATGGAGATTACACAAATAGATTTGGGAATTGGTGTGTTGGGTGGTGTGTCATGGCCCACGGTCAGACCTGAGTCAGGACAGCCGGTTGGGTCGTACCGACTGTGCAGGGGGAAGCAGCACATTATTGGCACAGAGCAAGGAGGTGCTGAAGTGAATCATGGCATTCTGTGCATCTACACAGGGTTGCAAGGTTGTGGTGAGTCATCCTCTGTAAATCAGGGTGCTGACACAAGCACTGATCAACAAAAGCTGTGCTCTGGCTGGGGGCAGATCCCGTGTGCATTTCAATGAGAATGTATCGCTCATTTCTACATGTATTGGCTGTTGGAAGAGATCCCAGTGACAGACAATAGCTTGGATTATGGTGCTTCACATCTCTCTTGCCTGACCAAAGTTATCTCAAAGTAAATGAGTGTAATACGAAACTGATGTTAGAAGAGAGTATTTATTAAGTTATAATTCAAATATATTGGATGTGTCAGGTTTTAAATCCACAACGTCAATTCTCAAGATATGAAGTGATAAATTTTTTAATATTTTAGTGGGCTGATAGAAATGTCATTTATAACAGAAATATGTTTTACTCTATGAATGATGGAAATCTAACCCTAATCCATCTCTTTCCTTGCACTTATTTTACTCCTGACTGTACGACTTCAGTGGTGAGGGCTAATGAAATACTACCTATCTGTCTATCTGGAACAGTTTAAACTGTTTCAGGTGGATATATTCTGTTTACACATATTTTGTGTTTCCCTTTGGAACACTTTATAGTATGTAATCTGTGTAACCTTACATTTATATATTAATATAAAAATGAATTACAAATAAAATTATTACAGGAAGTAGTTGCAAGTCAAGGTTAACTGTGAGGAATAACCTTTGAAATATTTGAATTTTTGAAATCATTTGTGTCAAGATGTTACAGAGGTGCCTAACTGGATCATTCTGATGTGGTCTGTGCATTGCTTTCAGTCTTGTGATTTCTTTATATCCTAAATTTAGAAGACTATCTTCCCACTACAGTAGGCCCTATATTGGCTACTGTAGGTTACAGCATATCAAAAAAACCAACTGTCCGCTACTGTGATGTTCTCCTGTCAACAAGTTTGGCTTTTCTGTTTTGAACAAACATGGTACTATAATAATAAAAATAATAGAAAGCAAGGTTTTCTGGTCCTTAGAAAAATGTGAGCTGCATAAAATCTACCTCTCATCTTTAAATGGAATTTAGGAAGATGGACTCTTGCAGCATTTCCCCTCTTTTGCTGACAAACATAATGCTGTGGGCAAGTTTAGTATGTCCAAAGTTCATAGGCATTATACTCAAAAATTGCTAATTGCATGGTACATAAGGATTCTTGGGTCAGGATGTTGTTTGTCTTAGCAAAAACAATATCTCTGGAAGTTCATTTCTTGTTACTACAGCTGGCTGTAATTTGCAAGAAGTCAATGTTATTGAAAGACATGTTCATCCATCCATACTTGAGGAGTTTAAAAAAACTTCGTTCTTCTGTTTCATGATTCAAATTGCATCCATTAAGATGAAATGTGCAATTCTGACTAGAATTCTTACTACCTCTGATCTCTGCAGTTTGACACAAAGCTCTTTATCTTAGTTTTGCTTTTTTTGAAGTGAGATGTGTAGCTATTGATAAAGCAGACAAGACATTCAATTCCTCTCACTCCTTGGGAGCTGTTTGCGAGAGATCAGTCTTTACAGAGTGGGTGGGAGAGCAATCACAGTCTGTGATAAAGGTCTATGGCAATTGCTTCCTAACTCAACCTTACTTTCTTACAGATTGTTTTCATGACACCTCGAGTTTATTTTGGTTTGCTCTGTTTTCTAAAAGCAGTTTACTGAACTTTGCTGTCTTGTGCAAGAAGCCCCAGTCTAAAAGGAAGGCTGAATTGGGGGATTCCTTACTGTGCATGTATGAGTGCTCAGTGGACAGATGCATGCCTTGGACTTCTTAATGGAGTTTGAAACATCAGCACTGACCACTCTGTAAAGGGTGAAACTGTGTGGTTTTTTTACTGTGAATGATTTTTACTCTGTGTTTGATCCCAGCACACCATACCATAGAGCACGGACTGATCACAGGGCGTGTGTGGCTCTAATGCAGACAGAATGATGAGCTTGACTGACAGCATGTCTTAGGAAGCAGCTCTTCTCTGTTGGATTGCTGACAGAGACTCTGGGAAGAGCATATGGTGTTCTTAAAATACATTTAAGTAACATCCCTGGGAGAACTTTACCTACCAGCAGGAGTTTGGCTTGGACCTGCTATTTCTCAGAATTGTGCTGACCTTTTCCCTCACACATTTCCTGCCACAGTTTCACAGGTTTTAGAAATTCACAAGTTGAAAAAATCGATCTGTTGACTAGGAAGAACACATTAGTGAATAACCTGTCTTGAGAAGGATGCACTTTCAATGAGGGAATTATCCAATCTGTACGTTATGACTTCATCCCTTTATGTACATCCTGGGTTTATTGTCTGGGTTAGAGATCAATTACTCATCTCTACCTCATCCTGGTTGTCAGGAGACTATCGATATAAATATTTTAATTATGAGAGCATTGAATTTTGTGATGCTTGCTTTATCTTCATTTGTATTCCTCCAGCAGCTCACAGGAGAAGATATAACACTCGCTTCACAGTTTGTTATACACAGTTCTTTTCTCTGACAGATCCTCAGAAAAGCCTTTCATATTTTTTTCTGTTCAGCCTGTTACCATGCATTTCTCTGTGGGCTAGAGTCTGTTTGCTGGCTCCATCAACATAAATGCAAAATTCTCTCTGTACCTGTGCTCTGGCCTACCTGACTGTGAAATCAGCCTCACTTGACTATGTCAGTCTCACATAAATAAATATGTATCATCTGCCTCATGAAGGTATTTTCACATATGTTTGTAAGATCTGATCTGCAGTCTCTTGAACTCAACTAAAATACGGCAATTGCACCAGCAATTGCAATGAGCAGTTTGTGTCAAGTGAATGTGCAATACGAAATCAATTATTTATTAATCTCTTGGTTTTTATTAGATGCCCAGCTCAAAATATACACCTATTTAAAAAGGCCACCAATAGCTGTTCTAGGGATGGAAATGTGTAGACAATCCTAAAACCAGACTGCTTTTACAGGGAGGCAGAATCCAGGAGCTATTCTACTAGGCTCTCTTCTGCTTTAAAAAAAAAAAAAAAAAAAAAAAAAAAAAAAAAAAAAAAAAAAAAAAAAAAAAGGAAAAATTTCTGGCACTTTTTGATAGTAAACTGACAGTATGGAAAGTAAATGTAGTAGGATATCAAAGTACTTTTGTTCACAGATATATTTAATGCGCAATCAGTGATAGGACTTCCCAACTCTGCAGGAGAGACGGTGCAGTTCAGAAGAGAGGGTGATCAGGTCAGCATAGCAGTTTTGCACTGACCTTCCTGTCCTGGAACAAGTCAACAGAGTCAGAGAGAAAGTCAGGCAGGTCAGTGTAGCAGTCCCAACCATGTGGTGTGTGGTCCTGGGCAGGGCAGGGTGGTGCCCCACACAATTAGAGCCTGATGGCACTCCCGGAACCTTGGGGGAACTCCTGCTCCAGGCAGAGACTGGTCTGAGCTCTTGCTCTGTGCCAGATCTCCCCCCAGTGACCCACAACACCACTGAGGTAGGATGTTGAAGAGAATATGTGGTCGATTCCCACAGCACCTGAGGTCCAGTTGTTGCTATCAGGGCACTCACAGGCTGCCTCTCTGGAAGTTCTCTATGCATTGGCAGCAGCACAGTGACCTACAGGTTTGTTCCAGGGGAGAAATTTGAGGGTAACCAGTCCTGCCTGGTTTTGTATAGTAAGACAGCTTTCAATGAAAGAAGGCATGAACCTACAGCTTCTATTCCTGTTTTATCTGAACTTCCTTCTACTTGAATTATTTTTTCAGGAATGGCAAGGAATGTACTATGCGAAAAAGAAAAACGGAGATAGCATACAACAAAATGTGAAGATACTACCTGTCATCGGACAGGGAGGGTAAGTATGAAAGCTAAACAATGATTTATGTCTCAAGGCTCAGTTTAGAGTTCAGTTGTTTTCTGCAGACATTAGATTATCTTGTTACTGAGTATAATGGAAGCTTATGCAAGGAAGGGAGCCTCAGACCTCTGTTTTTAATTCCTTGGGGCAAAATCAGCTTTACATGCTGTGTGCAGGGAAAGTGAAATTCTCCTACTTCTCCCCCAAAAGTGACCCTGACTCTTCTAATACTCCTGAAGTTCAAATGCACTCTCTGGTCTCTCTGTGCTTTGTGGTGGGACCACCAGGTCCAACTGTGCACCTGTACCATGTCCCTCCATGCTCACCTACTCATGGCTGTTGCCAGGTGTCTTTACGTGATAAGGTCACTGTGTGCTTTGGTCATGGGCAAAATTCAAGCATGTCTTGATTTTTATGCAACTTCCACTTGGTCCCCAAATCGAGCCTTTGGAGCACACAAGTAGATGTTAGTTACTGGTATGTTTATGATGAGTCCTTTCAGGGAAAGAAGGTGGATCAGATTGCATGCAGTAGTAGGTTCAAATCCCTTTAAGGCTTAATCAAGAGCATGGCACGTCATCTCAGACTTGGCTGAGACAATTGTTTGTTAAAATTGTATCTTTAAGAAGGAAAGGCCAAATGCAGCTTTTTCAAGCAGTAACATCCTTAAGGAAAAAAAAAGTTTTTGATGTTTTGGGTTGATTTAATCCCTGGAAGTAATTCATGTTCTTTAGTCTCCATCAATAGAGTGAAAACGTATTTTCAGTTTAAGATGTCAAACTTGTAAGACATGTATGTATTACATACATTGCTACTTACGGAACAACCTAAGCCCAATTGAAGCTGACTTAGGAAGTTTTCTGCTAATCAGGAGTCTAGTTTTCAGTTTGATTGCTCTGTCCCTAAGTCCTATAGAAGATTTTGAGTTTTGGACAGCACTGTTGCATTTTTCGCATTTATATCATACATGAAACATCCTACAGTAGGCCAGAAGAAGCTAGGAGAGTGGGGGGAGAGCAGAGAGAAAGAGGAGGAGACAGACTTTGCAAAAGATGCTTCCATTTTCCCCATGACATGCAGAACTGTGAGGTTTTCCTCTTCCAAGTTGAGCCTTCCTGGCAGAACAGGATTTGTGCTAAAATAATCTGTTGCTCTTACCTGCTTTGAGTATCAGCACTGAATTAGAGCTGAGGTTTGGATGGGAATTAACACACTGTTTTTTGCCTACAGAAAGATTAGACACTATGTGTCAATTAGTAGACTGTGCAATGACAACAATAAGGTAAGTGAAAATAGTGCTATGCTTGCTTTAGTTTGAGCCCTAAATATTATAAAATACTGACAAAGTTCTGACTAACTGGATTTCTCATACTGAATTGTAGGTGGAGAAGACATGTGAATGTATTCAGGCTGAATCTCAGACAGGTATGACACATCTCTTTCATCCTAATAAGTGGAGAACATATCTGAGGAAAGAATTAAGGCCACTGTTAGTAATTTGACTGAAAACACAGTTGCACAGAACAGTACAATTTACCTACTGATAAGTTGGGAATTCAGCTCAAAAGGCAGGAAAATAAATACAAGTCCTCTCTGCCTGCCTCATTTGTTTTAGAAGTGACATAAATCAACCCCCCTTTGAAAACACAGTAATGGGGCCCCAAGCTGGTATTGCTGGATTCAGCATCACATTTCAGTTGTAGGTGGTGGATCCGTGTGACAAAACTAGAAATAAGGAGGATGCCCTGTAGTCACATTACTGTGGCTGGTCTGTAGTGGCATGTGTGTCTGCATTGCTTTCAGCTGTACTGGGGGAAGTTTGCATGTGGGTAGAAATGAGGATGACCAACACTATTATTCACCCTCATCCCACATATCAACACTTCAGTTATGACATCCTTGATATCCATGCTGTAGGTACTTGTTAACTATAGCCTTGCTAGGACAGTTTCTGTCTGTCAGGGTCTGTAAGGGACCTGGGATACACTGCCTACTTTGGGAGTGTGTACTCTGCTTGGGCCAAGTAGTTCTTGATGGCAGTGGTCCCTTGAGTGAACTCAGGTGTGCTGCACAAGTTCTATTCACAACTACAATTGTGTCACTGTGGCAAGAGAGGCACTTTTTCCTCCACACTGTTAGTTTCTTTCTGCACAAACACTGAGGCATGTTCTGCCAGTGAGCATGACTGGGTTCATGGCAGTATCACTGGGCGAGTTAAAAGGGAGCTTTCGTTGGCTCCCACGTGCTGAAGTGTTGTGGTGAATGTCACTCAGCTGCTGTCAGGCTTTTTCTGAGCTTCAATTCCTTTGACATACATCTTAGGCACAGCTTCATGTCATTGTATGATATTTTCTTCACAGATACTCAGACTTGCAGACACAAAGACATGAGGAAAGGATCCCTAGATGTCAGATCCACCACATCACGAGGGAGTGATGGTATGTTAAACAAGTCATTGTATTGGGTCTGGCTGAGTTGGAGTTGCCACACAAAACCAATACACAAATTGTTATATTTCTTACCACTTCTCTTGATAAAGGTGTGAAGATATTTTTTTATCAATTTGGTTTTCTTTCACTCTGTTATATTTTGCTCTGTTAGATCACCACAAACTTTATAGATGAGTCATATTCAAAACTGCTGCTGGTACTTACGTGATTTTGTTAAAGCATACATCATCACAGTCTAGGCAGCACACACGAGTGAAGTATGGAAGTAGGTCTGTGGCAGTGAGAATACAATCCTGCTCCAGTATAGCAAAAATAGTATTGATTTTTCTTCTTACGGACTGCTCAGCAAACAGAGTTACAGAGATGTGTCTGCATTTTATAGGTAGCACAACATCCAGAAAAATCTTATCTTGACTTTTTCTCTACAGAAATAAATTTGCTAAACGATAGAAAACATTTGTTTTTAAATTTCCAATGAATAATAGGTCAGGACCTCTGCTGTTTTCATTTGGCATAGCTACCCACTTCAGAGGAGCTTCACTGATTTACCTCAGCTTGGAAGCTGACTCATTATGACTTGTCATGTTGCATCAGGCAGCAAGAGTAGATACATTGCCTAATAACCTAAATGCAATGGTTACCTACCTTTGATTGCCAGTTTATACACACACATCTATATAGTCTTTTAACTGAGTTTTAATTGAATACTTTAATTAGTTAAAACAAAAAGACAAAGCCATGATTTTCCAGACTATTACAGCTCCCTATCTCTAATCAGGGACATCAGTGGTTCAGCCAGCATCCCTTTGCACTTGTGTGTCCCCAGCATCACAAACATGTGTATGTATTCTGCAATAGATTGCCTCTGAAAGGCACAGCAGGGTAAGCAGTTCAGAAAATGAATCCTGTCATGCCTTGTCGCTGGAATTGGGATACAAATTCTGCTTTGTTTTGTGCACAGGCAGCTCACAAAGGCGTCGCTCGTCCATGGCCAGGGTACATTCCATGACTATCGAAGCCCCCATCACCAAGGTAATGGGCTCTGGCTCTGGCTGTGGGCAGTTGTGCTGCACTGCAGCACTGGGGCACGAGGCTCCAGGGCAGCATCCAGGCTGAGGAGCAAGGCAGCACTGGTCTCTGGGGCAACTTCTTCCCCTGTTCCACCTGCCTGCTGGTGTAGCTCCAGAAAGCCAGATACTCTGAACAATGATCTCCCAAGTCTGCTTGGTAGAGTGGCATCTATGTGGTCAGCCATCACATGACCCTTTTTAAGAACTTTTGCCTGTGTTTCTCCTCCTTATTTGGTGCATTGTAAACTGCCTTCTGAAACCACTCTAGGATTTGTTAAAAATCAGCTCTTTAATAAATTGAGAGAGGCAAATGGGAGAAAGTTATATTAAATCCATTCAGAGACATTTTGAGACCGTGGCTTGGAGGGGAAAGTCATTAGTAAGTTTGCTGTCTTTAAGGCCATGGTCTTGTTCCCAGAATCTGTAGCAAGCATCAGTCTTTCTGTAACATTCCTTTCATTTGGATTCTCCCTTTAATGTGGATTAAAGTTTTGGATCTTGTTTATTTGCTGAATTTTCTATAGTAGTTGATGAGTATCTCTGTCCTTTCTTAAATCACTTCTAAGTTCACAATATGTCTAATGCTACATTAGGTAATAAACATCATCAATGCTGCACAAGAAAGCAGTCCCATGCCAGTTGCAGAAGCTTTAGACCGGGCTTTGGAGATTTTAAGAACCACTGAATTGTACTCTCCACAACTGGGGACAAAAGATGAGGATCCACATACAAGTGACCTTGTTGGAGGGTTAATGACAGTAAGTACATACTGCCACAAACAGCTGTTGATTAATGTTCTGCTGCCTGACTTGCCCAGTTACTTGATCTTTATCATCTGACATGTGCTCTGCCTCTACAATGCCAAATTTACAGAAAAAACTGCACACCTCTTTTTGTGAATTTTTCCCCCCTACTTGAATAATGCAGCTCTTAGAATAGGGAGAAAATTGACCAGCCCCTTTGAAACATTAGTTTTGCTACAAATGAAAAGTAAAAACAATTCTTTTTTTCAATGGGATTCATTTAAGAGAGGTAGAGATGGGAGAGGAAGAAATAAAGATAGCCAAACACTTGTATTTATTAATGAGGATTAGAATGACATGGTTTTGGGGTGCCTTTCAGTCAACAGAAAAAATGTGTTTCCAAAGGAATGCAAAATATGTATTTTTCTTGCTTTTTCCTCGATTATATTTGTACCTCTAGTGTGTACCCAAAGTTGAACAAAGGGCACATAGTGAAGCAAGAACTGAACCCAAACCTTCAGAGCCTGGAGTCTGACCCTCCTGATGGTAACGAGATGAGTTTAGATGAATGTTACCTGTGCCTTAAGGATATTTGTTCCCACTAGTCTGTAGGTTGCATATAAAAGGCTACATTGGGAAAAAAATTTACAGTGTGTTAGATGTAAAAAGGTTCACAAGATATGAGCTTTTCAGAGATATCTTGGGCTATTATAATTTCATGTTGTAACTATCTCAACGCCTTTGAAGTATCCAGCAGAATCTTCTAATAGTTTATATGTATTTTTGCCTTTCAAAATACCACAGCAAATATCTAATCAGGAGAAACATATGGGAGACTTCAAGAATTCCAGGAGAAGACCTGAATGGTTCATATAGGGTTGAATTTACTGAATAGACAAAATATATTGTTACCTTAACTATAAAATATAGGAAGGATATTGATACATATAACCATTAGTCTCAAAGTGAATCTTTTCTCCTGCTGAATACACATAGTCCATAAACTCGACTGTTTTCTCCTTTTTGGTGATTGCTGATTCTTACATGCATTTGTATTCTGACTGTATTCAGTCCATGAACATGTAGGTAACAATACTGCAAAATACAAAACCGTTACTAAAAATAAAACAGAGGCTATTTTATGGGGCAACAGGAAAGCCGATAAATCTATTTCAGAGCACGAGGCATATGTGAGTTTGAAAATTATCTGGGAGAATAATTTCTTCATCAAAGGGTCTGTTGAAAACAGAATCACATCATTCCATTTCATGTTCAGAAGTTATGTCTGAGAAGGGGAACAAGTAATATGCTATTGGATTTGAACTCTCAGGCAGGAAGGGCATTTGAAGTTCAAAAATGGATTTGCCAGATATAATTACACCTGCTATTTCAACTCTTAAAAAACTAATCTTTGATTCAAATGAGAGGCAGCAGCTGGTGTCTTAAATATTTGTGCCATAGCAGTGCTATTGAAGAGTCAGTGAGCCACTGTAGTTCTCCCTTTCCTTTTAAATCACAAAACTCCCTACTCAGATACAAGTGTGAAAGTAAAAATGAGATATAAAAATTTTTTTAGGTGCAGATATTGCATGTTCAGTTATAGCATCCACATGTACTTCTGCTATACTTTGTGTGCATAACATTTTTAGTAAGGTGCATTGAGAAATATTTGTTTGAAGCACTGGTTTTTTTACATCATGGGCTAAACATTAACGTGCAGTAACTAACAGCTGTAACCTCAAAAGAACAAGCAGGATTTGGGCCACGGTATTTAGAATTATAAGCTGAAAAGTAAATACTAAATATATAACTCTGTTAGTTTTAATCCATCATCTCAGTTTGCACATCTAGGTGTCATGCCAGAGTTAAGCCTAGGAGGCACTGAACTGAAGAATAAACAAACGTACATTCTGCTGTGATAGAAAGGAAGCCTCAGAGAAATTTGTTGCTCTGCAATTCCAGCAAAAAATCATGAGATTCTTATGCTGCTGAGGTGACCTGATCTGCCAGTGCCAGGGGAGGAGAGCAGAAGCACCTCTCTATCCACTCCCTCCCACCACCCACCTTTGCTTGTTGATGGGGAGTATGTGGCCATACAGTGCCTTGTTTGTGGCACACATCCACAAGTGGTGTGCCTGTTGTCCAGACAAAGACAGATGTGTGACTGTAATTCCACACCTCCATCTGCACCTGAGAAATGCAAGTTTTTACCTATCTATGTTCTTAGTGTGTCCCATCCATATCCTGCAGTTTCTCCTCTGTTATGAACTCTATGTAAAACAAGGCAAATCCTAACAGTACACACAAATAAGGTTGAGGCAGCTCTGATGACTGTTACAGGTTGCAGTCAGGCTTGTCTGAAGTCGTGCTACTATTTGGTGTCATCATCTTCTAGACCTTTTGTGCCATAACCTGGATTTAACTCTCAACTTTTCTTTAACAGGATGGTTTGCGAAGATTATCAGGGAACGAATACATATTGTCAGCAAAACGTAAGTTTTAATTTGGTGGTTACTGAGATACTAAAATGTTCAGAAATTTAAGAAATGGGAGAAATGTGATCAGATGGGGTTTTATATTAGCATCATTTGGGTTGGGTTTATTTTTATTCATAAGTGTTTTTCTGCAGCATTACTGAGCTTCATAAAAATGAGAGTTGCCAGGTGTTACTACAGAAAAGAAAACATGTACATTCAGTAGAAGTGTATCTCACTATTAAATATAGTATTTAATATACTATTAATAAATATATTAATACAGTAATAAATGTATTCCTCAACAGAAATTCATCAGGTCACTGGCAGTTTGAGCTCTCCAATCTCCCTCAATGACATACCCCCACGGATAACACAGGCAATGGAAAATGAAGAACAGTGGGATTTCGATATCTTTGAACTTGAGGCTGCCACCCATAAAAGGTCAGTAAATGCAAAAGCTCATACACTGAAGTTGCTGAAAAGTGACTTAAATGTCATCCTATAACAGACTGCTTAATTTCTCTACCTGTGCTTTTAAAATTGAATAATTTTTATTTTCAAAGTCAGATGTTTCAAACTTTCCCATTGGCATTTCTAGTTGAGTATGAACATTAAATATCTTCTGTTTCATCATACACTATTTCCTGCAAATTCCTAGTGGATATAAGTGAAGATTATATATCTTTGATATGGTATAATGACAAAACAACATCATTTTTAAAGCCTTCCTTTTCTCAATAATAGAAAGGTTCTACAAATCAAATTGTTTTCTTTTGGGGATTCAGATTCTTATTATGGCCAACTACACACAGAGTCAACATGCTGGTCTTAATTTGATTAGTTGATGCAGATCAGGTTTTATTTTCTTTCCATATAATTGGGTAGGTTTTATTCCTGAACAGGTCCAATACAGCTTTTCAACAGTATTCCCATTGCCTTGCCCTGGGATTAGAGGAAGGTCTTTATTCTAAAATCTTGGCAGGCTACATTTTATTTATAAGATTAACTGAAGAATATGTACTGATAAAAAGTAGGGCATACCATCATAGAAGTTCTTAAAAGCAAATCAGCAATTTTGATAGGCTGTGCTTCGTTAGTAGTAAGGGCTCCCACTAAGAGTAAATTGATCTGTTTAAATCCTTGTTTTTATTTTCTGATGCTTAATCAAAAGTTCCCCTTTTGGGTCTAATTTCATGTATCATGCTTTGTCTTAGTTTAAAGCTTCTATTTGGAGAGACTAATTTGGAGGCTGGATCCTGCAATGAATTGACTATCTTAAACCCTTGCAAAATTCCAAATCTGTAAGAGCTTTGAAAGGTACTCAAACCAAAGTCTAAGAAAGATATGAGGCATTTAGTTAACATACATTCACTTCATTTCAAAAAGCTGCAAAAACCCCCAGGGTTTTATTCTTCTTTAAAGTGATTTTATTGCAAGTGAAGAAATTTACATCCAGTTGCTTTAGGTTTTTTTTTCTTTGCTGCATTTTCATCTCTAATGCAGTCCTATAGATACAGTAATTAAAAAGAAAAATGTAAAGATATAGTCAGTCTGTGTGATTTACAACATTTAATGCATGCATTGCAGTAACTTAATTATTATCCCAGCCGACATGCATGAGATCACCAGATAGGCTTCTCTCTTCTTGCTGATTTGGAGAGACCACAGAGGGGCAAAGGTGGTACTTTGTTGTCTGTTCTCTTATTAAAGGTATCATAATGATTGCTTTCTCCTGTGTTTAAATAAAGGCAGTTCATTTATTAAGAGAATTAAAATGATCTTACATGACTCACAAGTATGAATATGTTATTAGTACTGTCTTAAGTCCAAGCAGACATCTGGTAGTAAAGCCAAGATAATTAATTAAATAGAAGCTTTAGTGCATTACAGCTCCCTGACACAGAAACCTGGAAGCACCTTTTTCTGACAGTGGGAGGGATTAAGGGGGATTTAACTTTAGTATATTACAATTGTAGTATATGACACAGTGTTGTTGAGTGTTTTTGCCAAAAGATGCACATCTAACTCTAAATGACCTCAGCACCTTGAAATGACCTCACCTCACCTGTCGGTTGCAGTTAAAAATCAGAGTGCTTGATGCATGTGGACTCAAGCAGCATCCTCTATTGCATGTGATCAGCAAGGGATGGAATCCTGCCAAGGGTGGGTGTAAAAGGAGTGGAGCAGATCTGCAGTGCAGAAAACATAGTGATTGCAGCATTCTGTAGTATAGATATACTTAATCTAATTGTAAACAGATTAGCTTAGGAATCTGTGGCAGCAGCAAGATTATCTCCCTTCTTCTCCTGCACAGTTTAGTACTTGCTAATTTATCTCATTCTGACTGCAGTCTACATTTACCCAACATAGACTTTCCAAGCCCCAAAACACTGCTACGTGCAGTACAGCAGTAATATAGAGCATTTTTAATATCCCTGGGAGGAATTGGCCTGGTTCTGAGACTGTGCATGTGATAGGTAGGCAGAACACTTCTACAGGTCTGGACTGTAATACAGTCATGAGTCCTTATACCTCATTTAATATGTCATTGTTTAAAAATGCTGTATGGATTCATGCTATTAATGTGATATAATATTCTTTCAGCTGCATTTATTTTAAAACTTTCTGTTTATTTTTCTCCAGGCCTTTGGTTTATCTGGGTCTCAAAATATTTGCTCGCTTTGGAATCTGTGAATTCCTAAACTGTTCAGAATCCACTCTGAGGTCATGGTTACAAGTTATTGAGGCTAACTACCATTCCTCCAACTCCTACCATAATTCTACTCATTCAGCAGATGTACTACATGCTACTGCTTACTTCTTGTCTAAAGAAAGAGTAAAGGTGAGTCCACATTTGTAAGAAACAGTGTAGGTGGGAAATACAGATGCAATCAAAGGAAGATCTCTCAAAAACAGATTCCAAAAGCCAAATGTCTTTCTGGTGCCAACCAGTTTGGTAACTCTGAAGTCAAAGAACTGGTCTGCTTTACATGAGTTCTAGGATTTCTCTTACAGTATATGTGGAAAGATGGATACTAATATTACAGGAATTGAACAGTTCTTGATGGGAGAATACGAAAATCTCCTTTTCAAGTAAAACTTCTTCATCCACTTAAGCTTCCTCAGATAGGTGAGCTAATGACAGTTATTTTTGTGACAGTACATGCCAAATACAGATTTAATGTAATAAACCACCATCTCTTATGCCTTGTGATAGTCACTTTGCAGGTGACTCCCAGGACAATATAGGCCATGAAGTCGGCTGTATCACCCACTGGACAAGATGCCCTGAGGATTATAGAGACTGCATTGGAGGAGACTATTGAGAAAGATTACTTGTCAAAGTTCCTTGTACCATAACACCCACTGGGGTATTAGAGCTACTGGCAACCAGAATAAATCAGAGCAACCTTTGCTCTCACATGCCCAGACTGGAGAAGGGGAGCTAAAGCAGTGCTTGCATGTGTGTTGGTATTTCTGAGGTGCATTTTTGGGTAGCAATTCCTACCCTGAATTGGCCTGCCTGAGGATAGCGCTACTGGTGGGCACCTGGCTGAGAAATTTGTGACTGTAAACAAGCTTCTGACAGCTCATTAAACTGTAGTAAGTCCCTTAACCTGGAGCTGCAGCTCATTAGTGTGCTCTCCAGTGGCCGATTTACAAATACCATATGCCAAATGGGAATAGAATGTCACTGGATTTTTTTCAGGCCCTGATTTGCCGGAGGTTTAGCTGGTCTTCCCAGGAATATCTATGAAAAACAGATAAATCTGGATTAATTTCAATGCCACAGAAGCATGACTGCCTCCTCTTTTTTCAGAATGTTGTTTCCATTCCTCTGTAGGCTTAGGAAGAGAAAAAAAATGTTGCATCAGAAGAAGGAGCAGAATCAAAGTTCAAAATTCTCTCTTTATCTTTTCAAAGTTACAGCCCAGCTGCTTTTGTGTTGTCCAGAGTTCAACTTAACTTAAACACAGAAGGCCTGATTCTGCCACTCAAATTCTCACTGAAAATATTTTTTTTTCTGTAATTTGAACTCAGGTCAACTTGCCTGGGAAAATTTTCAGGCTCCCAAATTGAAGCCATATTCTCAGAATCATTTCCAGTTCTGTGCCATGGGAGTTAAAATGACAAAATTAGAATTCTTGACCTGATGTTGGTCATAAAAGTGCTGCAAATCCCTGTGAAGTTTGTTATGTGAGCCTCAGGAAATGAGCATCAGGTAGACTGCTCTGGTCCTACAAGTCAGGTATTCCCAAGCTTCTGGCCATTTTCCATCTGTACAGATCTGTCTCAGCCAGACTGAGCACTGGTCAGCGTGTCCTTCTGAGGAGAGCCCGTTCTAAAAATCTCTTCTAATTTTATACCACAAAACCAGAATCCCGTGAACAGCAGTGAAAGAAAGAAAGAAGAAGCTAACACACAGCAGATAGTATTTCAGACAATGCTAACTATGAACTACGGCAGAGATAGGTTTTGCCTTTTCTTGTTCTCCACAAGACTTTCTTGGCAGTCCTCAATAATATCCTAGCTCCCTCAAAGTCAAGCCATTGCATTAATTTCAGGAGGTGTAACGTAGGGCAGAGTCTGTCTTTTCACCTACCAAGTGTAACTGTTCTGAATGGTATTGTCAAAGCCAGCAGGGAATTTGGACCTTAAATTCAAGCTAATTGGGATGGAAATTATCTGCCCTGCTCCCAGATTCAATGGAGGATATTTCTGCTCTTGTGTCTCTTTCATTTTATTAAAATTTTTAACATAATTGTTTGATATCTGTGGTCCTTCACAAAAAACCAGCATAAACACAACAGAATAAAGGCCAGTGTCCAAATGTATACAGCATATTTCTGAGATGCTTAGGGGTTTTTCTCCTTTATGATATTAATACAGTATTAAAACTTCAATATAAAACCTTAAAAGTCAAATGGGTTTGTATTTTCATGAAATAACTTAGATAAAATTAGACATAAAGCAATGACCATTGCAAGTAGACATAAAGCATGGAGTGCAGCACACTAACAGAATCAGAATCTTGTTACAGAAAGTATAAAACAGTGTATTGTATAATTTGTCCATGGATGTAAACCAGCAGGTACTCTTCACGGAATATGCATTAGCTGTAACCCCAGGACACTGTTATTATAAAACTGGATATATGGATAACATTCCTTTCAAATTGTAAACCTAGCCAGCACATAACTGGAGTGTGATTAGGACACATTAAATTGCCAGAGGAAATTAAGAGGTCTGGTGGTAATAGAATAATTTTTAGCAGTATCGTTCTTTTTTCCAAGCCAAATAGCCTAACTCCAAGTGAAGGTGGTTTCAGTGTTGTTAGAAAACACAAACTAATTTATTACTTTACATTTGTTTAATTTGATGTGCTGTGACAAAGGTGTGGTTAAGGCAAAATTTAAGAGGCACGAAACAGCCAAAAAAGTCATACAGTGTTCAGTGAAGCTTTTAATGAATTTTCCATTGCTCTGTGTAGAACATCTGACCCTTACTGATCTCCAGAGTTTTGGCTCTTATTCCTCAGGAAATTGGCTTAATCTTATGGACAGAATAGGGTTTCTAATGAGTCTGCCAGGAAAACTAAGCATCCTTCTATTTTCAGCAAACTTTGGATCCAATTGATGAGGTTGCCGCACTCATTGCTGCCACAGTCCATGATGTGGATCACCCAGGAAGAACAAACTCTTTCCTGTGCAATGCTGGCAGCGAGCTGGCGATTCTCTACAATGACACGGCGGTGCTGGAGAGCCACCACGCTGCCCTGGCTTTCCAGCTCACCACCCGGGATGGCAAATGCAATATATTTAAAAACATGGAAAGGTAAGCTTAAAACCCAGGGTCCTTGTCTGCCCACTAACGTCTCTCACTTACTTCTGTGTAACATAAGGCAAACAAGCATCCTTTGCTTCTAGAAGAGTAGAGTTCTTATGCCTGTCCTGCACAGACTTAGGAGTAGTCCCGTGGTGTCAGTTCCTCCTGTTGATAAAAAGGCAGACCCTATCTAAGGAACTTATTGTAAATCTTAATGTGGGCAAGTCTAGAAGAATTATTTTGTAGCACTGAATGTAGAGAACAAGTTATGCCTGAGTAGGTAGATATTTGCTGGATAGAACAAGGAAAGAAAGAGCTGTGGAGCATCAGTAAAAAATTAAATGCCTTGTTGCAATGGCAAGGATAGTGAAGGACCTGATGTTCTTCTTCCAGCCCCAGAAAGGCATTTAGGGCAAGGAGGTGACCATTGCCTTGGTCCTCTCAAGATACAGCAGAAAAGTATCGCTGAAAACTTGACTGGAGCATGAGCCACTGCTGAGTGGCCTTGGGAACATGCTGGTGTGCCAAATCCTGGCAGCCCTTCTGACCTGATGGTGCTACTGCTTCTGCCCAGCTCTGGTACTGTAGAGGTGCAGTCATGCCTTGAGTACATATGTCTCTACACAACAAAAGTTACTCTGTCTAGCATACATGCAGCTGCCCAAGCCTTTATTACTGTTCTTTCTTCCCCCAGCACCTCCCTCCAATGGAAATGGTCTGTAGCATTTTTGTTAGACTTGTTTTAGCAACCAGCCCTTTGTGAACCAGCCAGCATTCTTAATTGTTTCCTTCTTTAAACAGGAATGAGTATCGAACTCTTCGCCAGGTTATTATTGACATGGTCTTAGCAACAGAAATGACAAAGCACTTTGAGCATGTCAACAAGTTTGTCAACAGCATTAATAAACCCTTGGCAGCGCTAGAAGAAAATGGGGTAAGCTACACTGCAAGTCCTCCTTAAAATGACTAGGCAGGGACTGGGAACCCTTGTCATTAGGAAATCCCCTCATGGTATAATGAGAAGGTTCATCAGAAACGTGGAGAAAGAGAGACTAGTAATTTATCTTTTACCTCTGGATTTGAATGTCCTTCTGCTTAACTTGGTTGTCACCCATTTTGAGGGTGAATGGGACTCACTTGGATCCTATAACATCTCAGTGCTGTGATGTCATACTTGGAACCAGAACCTTGGGCTCTATGTTTTCATGTTAAAAATGCCATTTTGATTAACCCAGTCACTCCCATGGAGCGGCAAGACTTGGCATCATTGCAAAGGAGCCAAGGCTTGCTTCAAAACAGAGGCTAAATTACTCCCTACTCCCAAGGGGACATGCTGGGGGTGCAGCACAGGGGCAGGTATATGGGCTGCCATATGGTGCATTCTCTGGGAATAAGGGTCCTCAGCCTTCAGCGCTGCCTGGCAGCATTCATAGGTTTTCTGTCTGCTTTCTTTTTTAATCTTTAAAATAGATGATGGTGACATTATGTATCATATAGACATAATCAATAGCCATCTGGAACCCTATGGACACAACAAAATTGCCTGTTGAGAACTTATTCTGAAAAACTGCACCAGTTTCAATAACAGCTTCAACCAACGGTTTTGTTGCCAGTAAGAGCAGTGTAAAATTTTGCTGGAATGTTTTTCTGCGAAGAGAAGATTTTCAGAAATGGTTATAATAAAGTTTATGTCAGTGGCAATGTCCTGTAGGAGCTGTCATGGTTTTCTGTGTTTTCTTACCATGTTTTTTAGAAAGCCACATTTATGACTGTTGTATGTAATGGGAAAGGGCAGTGTTTTTTTTATCTGAGAGTGGGAGAGGAATAGATCTTGTTCCTCCACTTATCAGAAGCAGACTGGAGCTTAATTGGAGAATTGTACCTTTGTCTACAGGAGTATATGCTAGAATTTACTTTGTTCTTGGCACCCAGCAATGCTAATGGGAACTCTGTGAAGCCAGAGTCCCAGTAGGATACTGGTTTTACTGACTAAACTGGGAGAAAGGATGTTAAGTTCTCAGCTGGACAGGTCCTCTGGGTGAGTGTAGCAGCATTCCGCACAGGGTGTAGTACACCACTCCACTGACCCCGTGGAGTCTGTAACTCTCTAAGGCTCCTGGTCCTGCTGAAGGGCTCTGTGCTGGCCTGGCTTGGTGTGCAGAGCCCCTCCTCCCAGCCCCAAGGATTGGGATGCAGCCGTTGTTTGAGCAGCAGAATCCATAGCATCCATCCAGCTGAACTCCTCTCTTGCCTCTTACGCAGCAGCTGTTGCTGCTGAAGAACAGGGCTTGGACCTGTACAATCAGAGAGTAAAAACAAATACAGCAACACAAAGAAATGAAACAAAAGTTTAATTCTGCCCTTAAACCTCAGGGACTGCAGAGAAATAATCTGTCCCACAGGGCATTTGTGATTCACAGCAATTTGTGCCCAAGGGCGAGAAGAAAGACAAAGGTTATATAATTTCTATTGCAAAAAGTTTCCCTTCTTTTGATTGGGAGTTTCTCATTTCAGCAGGTTCCTATTAAAAGGCCTGTAATGTGTGAGTGGTTAAAGCGAATCACTTACTGTTCTGAGCAGAACAACACTGTCAGACCCTCGTTCAAGTGTGTTGTCTCTCTGGTTGCAGCAGCAGCGTGTGTTTTCTGGCCTGGTTTCTAGTCATGGTGGTGACTCAGGGTAGTGTTTGCAGCTGAGCTGCCAAATGCATGTTCCAAATGGGACAGTTCCACTTATTTTTTTTATTTATTATTTTTATCCATATTGTTCAAAGAGCCATGCTGAGAAGCTGCTGTGTTTGTTTCCTTTCTTCTTTTGTTCATAAACTGAAAAAAAATCCTTTCCAGCTCCAGCATCCTTTATCCTCCCATTTCCCTTCATGATGTCACCTAAGCCTATGACAGGAAGCCAGCATCTGACATGCAGAGACACCTCTGCACTCTGAGCAGGATGCTGGGACTAAGCAGAGATAGCATATTTTATTCCCAAGACATCTGCATAGAGCAAGTAGAACTGTGCCTTTGGTTGGAACAGATCACAGAAGTGAAAATCCCTTTTTGATTTCTAGTGGTTTACCTACTAGGGTATTCTCTGCTGTGCTTAACTGAATGGTCTCTGATATTTCCATACTTAATTTCCATGCTTGTGTTTCTGGAACTTCATCTCTTTATTTTGGCTTTCTCTTATGTAATTTTGCCATGCAGTTGGAAATGTATGCACCTCACTTTGCTTCCTCTGTTTTCCCTTCTACATACCTAAAAATGAGGGAAAAGAATTGGTTTGGGAATCTCATTTTGCTGAGAACTGTGGAGCTGGTGTTTCTGAGCCAGTATACTACCTAATAATATTTTATTACTGTCAGTTTCTTCCTTTAGGAAGAACTTTCTTCCCCACAAGAATTTTCTTCTGAAAAATGTCATGGTTATTCTGACCTAATGAAAGGTCAGAATGTTTCTGCTGCTTTTTCTCTCCCTCTTCATACAAAATACTGCAGGAATGGGTGGCACATTATTATTATCATCATTATTGTTAGTTACTTCTTCTCTGCTCTGACCATAGAGCAAGACCTTGCTAGGTGCCAGAGAAGTCTTGTATATTCCTTGCTTCAAAGAGTTTCTATTCTGAGTAGACAGTGTTGGAAATTTCTGTACCTACCCATCCCTAAAGAGTCCAACAACAATGTTGTACTTATAGGTAATTTTAAAAGATATATTAACCCTGGATCTCTGTCCTTTGGAAACTTGCTTCATCAGAGCTCCACAGAAAATAGCTTCTAATCTGGATCATCACAGACTTTACTCATATTAGCTGTGTATTGGCTCCAAATATAGAGTACCATTGACGTGCTCCTGGCTGTAGCCTGGGAACCAAATATAAGCTGTGTGTGGGCTGAAAACTTTGCTGGAGCTGCAGAGGAAAGACGAGACTGTTTGGAAGCATGTTTCTAATATATTGCTTTAATACTGATAGACTCTCAGAAACCAAAAATTCCCAGTCAAACCAGAGACTCATGGGCTAATGTGGGTCCAGTGGAAGGGAGTAAGGAGCATGCCTGGGAGGCAGTGTGGGATCTGACTCTCTGAATAGTAGGAGTGCTGTCAGAATGATTGATACCCATCCTGATGAGGTTTGTGTGCTGAGGATGACTGTGCATCTTGGGTCAGTCCTTTTTTTTAAACTATTTCACTCCTAATGTGCAAATCCATTAATCCTTGGATTTCAGCAGAGAGTTACATTTTTCTGCCTACACGGTGCTCATGACTATGTGTGTAGTGATGAATGGATCCTCTCCAGACTTTTAAGGCAGCAGATAAGGCATAGAGGGATTAGGTGACTTGCCCAAAGATGCCCAAGAGATCTGTCACAAAGACAGTGACTGAATCCAGAAACTGGAGTTCACTGCTAGCTCAGAGCTGTGGCTAACTTTCATAATCCCCTATAAATTCAGTTGGACATAAAATATGGTAGCCAGTAGCAGGACTGATCCCTGTACGATCTGCTGAAAGCATTCACAAGGCACTAAAGCTTTTGAGTTAGTGCATGGAGACTTTGCTAATGGATTGTTTTTAATTCTTAAATGTTACAGAATAATGGTGATGGAGAGTCAATCAAAACTGTTCTCAGGTCTCCTGAAAACCGTATCCTTATCAAACGCATGTTGATAAAGTGTGCTGACATTTCCAATCCATGCAGACCCATAGAACAGTGTATAGAGTGGGCTGGACGCATCTCTGAGGAGTACTTTGCACAGGTAAGGCATCTAAAATGGGCTGCTGAAATTCCACGTGAGCATCCTCTTAAAAGGATGCATATACTGCCAGTGTCACAGAGTATCTAAGGGTGCGTTATGGAACATGAAAAATAACAACCTTTTTATTTTAAATGATGGGATATTACTCATGCTAGATGCCTGCAGACAGATGAAAGCTGACAACTTCTACAGTGCAGTTTCTGAAAATTTAAGCTTTCAAATTGTTCAGTTTGGAGCTGGGCTTTTCGAGTCTTGCCTGCAAATACATTTCCATCACGAGGCAGAGCAAGGATGCCTTCTGTGTACCTATATGCTGGCTTTGCCTCAGGAATAGGATCATCAGGTTCTAGTGTTAGGATGGCAACAGCACTCACTCCAAGAAATACTGTAGGACATTAGCACACTGTACTGAAGAAAGGTTTTAGAAAGGTGGGGAAAAGGAGAGGGCAGAGTCATTATTACAGATGATAGACCAAATGCTGGAATTGGGGCTTGGTACACAAGTGCAGGGAAAGGGGATAAAAAAGGTGTTTTGCCACCTATGAGTTGTACAGATTGTCACTTTTGTCAGAGATTGAAAATGGTTAAGCACCTCTTAGCTCTGCAACAGTCATAACCTGGTAATGTGTGAAGTTACATGGGGTCAACTTGTGTGCAGATGCAGAAGGTAAATGTATCTCTTTGTGGGAAACACTGGAAGGCACTATTTGTCTGCTGTTTTGCCAAAACCTGAACGAATAGGTGCATAAGATTAAATCGCTGCTGCTTCAGATTTATTCAGGTTCCTCCTTTTATTTAGCAGATACATGCTCTAGTCAGTGCCAAACAATCTGCTGCTAAAAGAAGCCCATTAATAGAATGTGTCTTAGATGAATAATCATTGGAGGTTTTTTTTGCAGACTGATGAAGAAAGGAGGCAAGGTTTACCTGTTGTGATGCCAGTTTTTGACAGAAATACTTGCAGCATCCCCAAATCCCAATTATCATTCATTGATTACTTCATTATTGATATGTTTGATGCCTGGGATGGTAAGCAAAATTCTGCTGTTTCCTGATGATAACTATTTTGTGAACATTTGAAACTGCTGTGATAGATAAATGAATTTGCTTTTTTATGGCTCCTAAAGAAAGGGAGAGAAAAGGGAAGATTTCTGCAGTTCAAGTAAGATTAATAACTTCATTATAGCTTAGAAATATTTGATACCGCTACAAGTCATTCTCATGGCTTCTCTTTAATATACTAGATTCAGGCAATGTTTAACTTTTTAAACTTGCTTCTCTGTAAATGGAAAATAGAACACATTCTCTTTGATAGCACTTTGGGCACAGTCATTTTGTCCATGTTAATATTGGTTATTCTTCAAGACAAATTTCTACAGTCTGGAAACTGCTTGAGGGAGCAGCTGTTTCCTTCCAAGTGCTGCCCCCGTGGTAAAAGTGGTCGGAAATGTGACTCTCCTGAATGCCAGATCATGACATGTGACTGAGATTTGATGGAGCAGAATAATTACAAGCATAATTAGCTATGCCCCTCCTGGAAAACTGTGTCCCTTTGCTGGGACTTGCAATACCAGTATTAAGTAGACTTACAGAACGATTCTCAGTGGCCCAAGTGTTACTTGAGTGATGAGAGCTATACAGCCAAAACCATTTCAAGCATCAGTGTGACAGATTTAAACTTTTCTACTTAACACAGTTGCCCAGACATTTCAAGTGATACTGAAGCAGACAGAATCTGTGACTGTTTCAGTTCTGCAGACTAAATACTCTCTGCCCTTTCTTCCCTAGCATTTGCAGACCTGCCAAATCTGATGGAGCATCTGAATAATAACATTAAATACTGGAAAGGATTAGACGGAAGGAATCTGCGAGTCCTTCGACCACCACCAGAATAGCAGTTGGACCATGGTGTGTAATTTACTAACCAGATGCATATTTATTCAAGCTCACTTTTATTATGTGAATTCAGATTTTTTTTGGTCTCTTCAGTATTACAGTAAGGCTAGCCCATGCACTTGGGGAACTTTCAAACTCAAGAGAACACAAGGTCAGCAGTTGACTTCCACGAACTACCATGTGTGGACTCCGATGAAATAAGCCCACCAAGTGGAATTACACTGGATTGCTGCAGTACTTGTACTGAAGAGGGTTTATTAGTGAACATACTTTTGCGATACCTTCATACCAGCGTGTGAAGCTGGAAGACCTTGAAGAATCCTCATGGAAAGGACATTCACTAGAAGATTATCTATTAATAGAGACTCACAGCTTTTATGAGAAAGCTACATGCTTTTTATAAGCACTTAAGACAGTTACGTAGAACAATCAAACACTTAAAATGCAACTGTCTATGAAAGAATTTTTGATCTATGAAAATAGATGTACTGTATTTTTTCACATCACAGAAGGTGCAATCATTCACTTCTGAGCACTACTGAAAGTGAGTTCTCCTTAAGAAATTTAGTAGCAAATGTAAAAAATAACACAAGAATTTTTGAGGTTGATCGTTAGCATCTATGATTAAAATGTTATGTTTTATTTATTTTGTTAGATGTTCAATATTTTCTATGAATTTATAAATACTTAAAAGCCAAAGCCAACTTTAGATGCATTATAAATTTACATGATTCATACTCATTAATATACATTTAATTGATGTACAGACCTTTTATTTTCATAATGCAAATACAAAATACTATACAATGATACATTTTTATTGCACTGTAAGGATAGATGTGTATGTTTAAATATTGTCTGATTTATGTTAATTAAAATAAGTTTTATTGAAAAGGTCTCACTTGAGAATAGTAGAATAAACATGAACTGTATACTGTCTGAGCACCAGAACTGCAGTAGTTCTCCCACAAACCAGTGGCGACCACCTGATCTTCTCTTGGCTACAAAAATAATAATATGTTGGAACTCTTTGTTTTCTCCCATGAAATTTTACGACTGAATTCCCTGTTAAAGTCTGCCTTATTTTATAAAGTATTTCTAGAAAGCATTCCACAGCATATATGAAGAGGTGATACTAAGCATCTAATGAATTTCAACATTTTATAGCCTATGTATTTTCCTTTGCCATGAAAGAAAAAGAACATAAAACCACCAACAAAAACCTTTAACTCAAGAAGTTTGTAAAGGCTGTGTACCTTCACAATTTGAATGAAACCTTCATAGCAACTACCAGAAAATAATAAAATGTATATTTTAAGAAGTGTCAAGTCCTACCCATTTCATTTGAAATGTATATTTACTTTGTAGTTTGCAGAATAACAAACAGATGAAATTCTTTTAAAAATAACTAAGATACTTGTTGTCTGGGGAAGGGAAGAGTTGAGGGAGTTGGACTGGCATAAGGGTGATGAAAGGTGGTTTATGGCTGGCAAGCCCCTGTGTTTGTGGCCTGCCCTTGGCAAGCCAATCAAACCCTAGTGTGGCCTTGGACAAGTCTCTTCACAGCTACAAGCAGTGTCACAGGGTTCCACTGAAGAAAGGAACTCCAGAGGCACTGAAAGAATTGCTGACTGTTGACACTGCAGAGGCAATCGACTTCAGAGACATTTCGAACCATTCCTGAAGAAGCACAAGCAGGGGAGAGGTGGATGATGGAGCAGTCCAGGGACTGCAGCAGTAGAGCCTTAAAGCAGGTAAGTAAGGAAGAGGTGACCTCTCCAGGTGTTACCAACTTCTGTTTCTCCTTCCTTTCAAGCCAGTGAGGCTGATGGGCCACCACCATTTGTTCATGTTAGTGTCAAGCCTTTCTGCCAGTGCTGCCCTTACCCTGCTTATGCGCTCTCCCTTCCTATACAGAATTCATATTTTCCTGGCAATATGACATTGTGTTTCCTTATACATGCACCTATTGTAATCAGCTTTAATTTGCTACCTGGTATTAATCTCTTCTGTTCCTTGCAGGCTCCTGTGCCTAGTTCAAGGAAAAGCTCCACCATCTCTGTTAGAGGGAAACTGCATCACACCATCTCCTCCGCTTGTCTGCTGCAGTGAGGATGGGAGAGGAATGGTAACAGCATGTGGGCCCAGAGACTGCAGATAAAACTCATAAAATCATAGAATCATTTAGGCTGGAAAAGACCTGTAAGATTATAGAGTCCAACCATTAATCCTGACTCCTGACCACTTCCCTGGGCAGCCTCTTTCAATGTTTGACAAACCTTTCCATGAAGAAACTTTTCCTAATATCCAGTCTAAACTTCCCCTGGTGCAACTTGAGCCCATTTCCTCTTATCCTATCACTTGTTTTTTGGGAGAAGAGACCAATCTCTATATGGCTACAACCTCCTTTCAGGGAGTGGTAGAGAGCAATAAGGTCTCCCCTGAGCCTCACCAGTGCCGAGTACAGGGGGATGATCACTGCCCTGGTCCTGCTGGCCACACTATTCCTGAAAGAGGCCAGGATGTCACTGGCCTTCTTGGCCACCTGGGTACATGCTGGCTCATGTTCAGCCACTGTCAACCAGCACCCCTAGGTCCTTTTCCACCAGGCCACTTTCCAGCCACTCTTCCCCCAGCCTGGAGCGCTGCAGGGGGTTGTTGTGAACCAAATGCAGGAACCACCTGGCACTTTGCCTTGTTAAATCTTATAAAACTGGCCTTGCCCCATCAGTCCAGCCTGCCCAGATCCCTCTGAGAGCCTTTCTACCCTCCAGCAGATTGACACTCCCACCCAACTTAGTGTCATCTGTGAACTGACTGAGGACACACTCGTTCCTCTTGTCTGGATCATCAATAAAGATATTAAACAGAATTGGCCAGAAAAAAATATTTCTTCATAAGCATAGTTAATATCTGAGTTATATTAATGAATGGTAAAAGCAGTTAATTTAATCTGCTATAAAAAGGCCTGATGCATCGTCATTGAAAAGATATGATTAATTCCCTGAAACTCACACTGCATCTTTATTGCTATTACTTGGAGTGTAGAGCTGTGCTAATCAACCTTCTGTATCAGCCAGATTTATGTCCATATTGGTGTACAATAATTTCACTTAACATAAAACACTGATTTGCAGGCATTGATTGCAGCTCTGTTCATTCTCCTGTCCATCTAAATTTGCCAAGGAGAGATTATAATTAAAGTCTGGCACCACAGTGCCTGATCCTCACCTAAGATCTCTTCCCACTGAGCTTCTCTCTACAAGCTACACGTCTGAAGCCTTCTGTGCAGTGTGAGGATATGTCCACTCTGTGGGGGTGACTCCAGGCCTTGCTGTGGAGCACTAATAGCTCTAACGTGATATTTATCACTCCAGTACTCAGATGTCTCTGTATGCCACTGCAAATTCTTCAGCCATTCCAGATCCCCTTCCTTTATCCTCCAAGATTACATAGCAACATCACATGCCTTGTGCTCTGAACCCTTTCCAGTTTAGTATCTCTTCTCATGCTTTTTGAACTGTCACTCAGTGATGGAGCGTTGCTGGAGAAAACCATGGGTTTACTGATGGTCCTTCACCATGGAAGGTGAACTGAGTGAACTGTTCCCAATTTCAGTCAGGCTGGCAGTCTTATGCACTTTCCATTTGTTCCTGTTTTAAGGCTAATGCAAGAGTAAATTCCTATGTAGACATGATGGAGAGGTTCTTTATGCATCTTCGGGGTTTTAATCTTAAAGCTTTTTGTTTTAAAACTGAATAAGGTTCAGCAATTCAACATTAAATGACCCATTTGGAATGACTGGTTCTATTTTCCATGCTGCATGCTAAAATTTTCTATCAAGTAATACTGCTGCTAAACCTGGGTATCACTGTAATTGCTTCCAGGTGGGCATGAACTATTATGATCTGCTAACAAAAATGTTGACTTCTCAGCAAATTGCCCTAGACTAATATCTTGTTCCCTTGTAAAAAATTCTGAGTAATAATTGCTTATTCTGACAAAAGGAGAAACCAGACAGGTGGTGTGCACAGCTCCCTTGTCACAGGTCTGGAGATGGCTTTCATCTGGGAATTCATTTGGGAATATTGCAATATTCCCAATGGCTATATATAAATTAAAAATCACTTGAAATGGAATTAATGCCTTTTTGTTGTTGTTGCAGTGCTTTTCGCAGTGAGCGTCTCTGCTTGTCTCAGCAGAGACATCATTGCTAAGACACTTAGGAAAATGTGTCTTGAATGTGAAAAAATTGAAGCAACGGCAAAGCCATTCCTACATAAAAGAGAAGAAAGGATAATAGCTTTCTAATAATCCCTTACAGGATGCTCAGAAACAGCACAGGGAGACTGTAGTCAGTTGTGCCTTTCTGTGAGGCCAGAAGGGTTTGAGTCATGACTCTGTGAGTGCTTTGAAATGAAGTCTCAGAGCTATTCACAAGCTTCAAAACAAATAATCTCTCTGCTGGTGTGTGCCATCATGCCTCCAAGGTACAGTGGTCCCAGGGGTGCTCGTTAAATGATAGCAGGATGGAGTGCATTTCATTCTGACATGATGTTTGGATGCAGAAAATGAGCTTTTAAATTGCTGCCTTGTCCCTGTACTGCTTGTTCAGAACAAAGGGGACATCCAGGTGCTTCGGTGATTTTTTGTTGTGCTGGAGCTATGGCTCTGTGGGCAAAGGACTTCTGTGGTTTAACTCCACCAAATGCTTTCTCTCTGTGCCTGCTCTGAATGTTACTAGGCAAAAGTGTCTCATGTTTTCCTTTTCCCCCCTTCTTTAACATCTTTAAGAATCTCCTCCCACACTTCCCACTCAAACCTCAGTGGACTCAGCTTTTCAAGCCCTGCAAAGCCAAGCACTAGCATCCTCTTTAACAAGAAAGACAACTGAGTTAGGAAAGGCCAGAGGGCCCAGAATCACTAAGAAAAATGGCTTTGAGGCTTCTAAACACCTTTGAAGTCCTGGACCTTCAAGCCCTGCCTGTGGTTTAACAGTGTTAGGCCAGGAAACAATCTTCAGGTCTTCTGAGGTTCCACTTTTTCCCTTCTCAGCTTCTCAGCTTCTATATTGGTTCTGTTCCCATTTGCTAGGAGTCTTTCCCTTAACTTCCGCTGGCTGAACATCTCCCTCAAACACACAGCCATAACACTGGAACTAAACACTGCCTTTCAAAATGACTCTTGCTGCTTACAGCAACTGTTACCACAAGAAAATATATTTTTTTCCAATTCAAGTTAAAGTGAGCCTGGAAAAATACCCTGTAATGGCTGAAAGCCTTAGACTGGTATCCACAAGCAGAAGGAGAATACATAGTTAGCTGAAACAGCTTGTGAGCTCTGCATTGTTACTGGGGCAGTGGGGATATGTGTGCAAGGTCTTTTGTGCTGTACTCCCACATACAAAGTGAAGTTCAGGACTGTTTGCAGGCACCTCTGCCTTTGAGACTATGTTAGAAAACACAAGCAGCTGTGGACACGTTGAAATTTGAATCTTTCTTTTCTCGGTTTGCTTGCTCCCCCCCTCGAGTGGCAATAGTCATTGCTAGAGCTAAAACTGATCTTAGTTCAGCCCATGGTAATTAACAGAAGTTACTTCATCCTTTTATCACATGTCTCTCTTGAGGCAGTGAAATAGCACACCAATGCACACAATTTTAGAGAGGAAGTGGGAAAGGTGATTGCCTGGCTTTGAAATGAAAGAATAAATGTAGCCAGTGTGTAATTATTCAAGTGAGAAGTTGCTCCTGTCTATATTTAATATTCCAAAGTGGTATTTGATGTAAATCCTTCCATAGAGTTCATTACATTAGCTCTTAGTTTAACCTGAGCATGCTGAGTGCCAAGTTCAGCATGCAGCATGTTTTATAACCAAGAATGATGTCATCCTGGTGATATTGTAGCTCCCCAGTTCCTGGGAAGGGGGTATGGCTCTGT